CAAAAAACTAAACCTCGTGAAAATCGGATGAGTTTTGGCCGAATTATGGGGGTGGGAAGTTTTAGACCATGTCTAGATGAGGATGGATCTAAGTCTGGTGTAAAATTTGACATGAATTTGGACCAAAAAAGAGGTCCCCAAACTTAAATGCCAAATTGATCTAGGGGCCAAATCATGAAGAAAAAACTAAACCTCGTGAAAATCGGTTGAGTTTTGGCTGAGTTATGGGGGTGGGAAGTTTTAGACCATGTCTAGATGAGGATTGATCTAAGTCTAAGGTAAGATTTGACTTGAATTAGGACCAAAAAAGGGTCCCCAAACTTAAATGCCAAATTGATTTAGGAGCCAAACGATGAACAAAAAACTAAACCTCGTGAAAATCGGATGAGTTTTGGCCGAATTATGGGGGTGGGAAGTTTTAGACCATGTCTAGATGAGGATGGATCTAAGTCAAGAGTAAGATTTGACTTGAATTTGGACCAAAAAAAGGGTCCCCAAGCTTAAATGCCAAATTAATCAAGGGGCCAAACCATGAACAAAAAACTAAACCTCGTGAAAATCGGTTGAGTTTTGGCTGAGTTATGGGGGTGGGAAGTTTTAGACCATGTCTAGATGAGGATTGATCTAAGTCTGGGGTAAGATTTGACTTGAATTTGGACCAAAAAAAGGGTCCCCAAACTTAAATGCCAAATTGATTTAGGGGCCAAGCCATGAACAAAAAACTAAACCTCGTGAAAATCGGTTGAGTTTTGGCTGAGTTATGGGGGTGGGAAGTTTTAGACCATGTCTAGATGAGGATTGATCTAAGTCTGGGGTAAGATTTGACTTGAATTTGGACCAAAAAAAGGGTCCCCAAACTTAAATGCCAAATTAATCTAGGGGCCAAACCATGAACAAAAATCTAAACCTCGTGAAAATCGGTTGAGTTTTGGCTGAGTTATGGGGGTGGGAAGTTTTAGACCATGTCTAGATTAGGATTGATCTAAGTCTGGGGTAAGATTTGACTTGAATTTGGACCAAAAAAAGGGTCCCCAAACTTAAATGCCATTATGATTTAGGGGCCAAACCATGAACAAAACACTAAACCTCGTGAAAATCGGTTCAGTTTTGGCTGAGTTATGGGGGTGGGAAGTTTCAGACCATGTCTAGATGAGGATTGATCTAAGTCTGGGGTAAGATTTGACTTGAATTTGGACCAAAAAAAGGGTCCCCAAACTTAAATGCCAAATTGATTTAGGGGCCAAACCATGAACAAAAAACTAAACCTCGTGAAAATCGGTTGAGTTTTGGCTGAGTTATGGGGGTGGGAAGTTTTAGACCATGTCTAGATGAGGATTGATCTAAGTCTGGGGTAAGATTTGACTTGAATTTGGACCAAAAAAAGGGTCCCCAAACTTAAATGCCAAATTGATTTAGGGGCCAAGCCATGAACAAAAAACTAAACCTCGTGAAAATCGGTTGAGTTTTGGCTGAGTTATGGGGGTGGGAAGTTTTAGACCATGTCTAGATGAGGATTGATCTAAGTCTGGGGTAAGATTTGACTTGAATTTGGACCAAAAAAAGGGTCCCCAAACTTAAATGCCAAATTAATCTAGGGGCCAAACCATGAACAAAAATCTAAACCTCGTGAAAATCGGTTGAGTTTTGGCTGAGTTATGGGGGTGGGAAGTTTTAGACCATGTCTAGATTAGGATTGATCTAAGTCTGGGGTAAGATTTGACTTGAATTTGGACCAAAAAAAGGGTCCCCAAACTTAAATGCCATTATGATTTAGGGGCCAAACCATGAACAAAACACTAAACCTCGTGAAAATCGGTTGAGTTTTGGCTGAGTTATGGGGGTGGGAAGTTTTAGACCATGTCTAGATTAGGATTGATCTAAGTCTGGGGTAAGATTTGACTTGAATTTGGACCAAAAAAAGGGTCCCCAAACTTAAATGCCATTATGATTTAGGGGCCAAACCATGAACAAAACACTAAACCTCGTGAAAATCGGTTCAGTTTTGGCTGAGTTATGGGGGTGGGAAGTTTTAGACCATGTCTAGATGAGGATTGATCTAAGTCTGGGGTAAGATTTGACTTGAATTTGGACCAAAAAAAGGGTCCCCAAACTTAAATGCCAAATTGATTTAGGGGCCAAACCATGAACAAAAAACTAAACCTCGTGAAAATCGGTTGAGTTTTGGCTGAGTTATGGGGGTGGGAAGTTTTAGACCATGTCTAGATGAGGATTGATCGAAGTCCTGAGTAAGATTTGACTTGAATTTGGACCAAAAAAAGGGTCCCCAAACTTAAATGCCAAATTGATTTAGAGGCCAAACCATGAACAAAAAACTAAACCTCGTGAAAATCGGTTGAGTTTTGGCTGAGTTATGGGGGTGGGAAGTTTTAGACCATGTCTAGATGAGGATTGATCGAAGTCCAGAGTAAGATTTGACTTGAATTTGGACCAAAAAAAGGGTCCCCAAACTTAAATGCCAAATTGATTTAGGGGCCAAACCATGAACAAAAAACTAAACCTCGTGAAAATCGGTTGAGTTTTGGCTGAGTTATGGGGGTGGGAAGTTTTAGACCATGTCTAGATGAGGATTGATCTAAGTCTGGGGTAAGATTTGACTTGAATTTGGACCAAAAAAAGGGTCCCCAAACTTAAATGCCAAAATAATCTAGGGGCCAAACCATGAACAAAAAACTAAACCTCGTGAAAATCGGTTGAGTTTTGGCTGAGTTATGGGGGTGGGAAGTTTTAGACCATGTCTAGATGAGGATTGATCTAAGTCTGGGGTAAGATTTGACTTGAATTTGGACCAAAAAAAGGGTCCCCAAACTTAAATGCCAAATTGATTTAGGGGCCAAACCATGAACAAAACACTAAACCTCGTGAAAATCGGTTGAGTTTTGGCTGAGTTATGGGGGTGGGAAGTTTTAGACCATGTCTAGATGAGGATTGATCGAAGTCCTGAGTAAGATTTGACTTGAATTTGGACCAAAAAAAGGGTCCCCAAACTTAAATGCCAAATTGATTTAGAGGCCAAACCATGAACAAAAAACTAAACCTCGTGAAAATCGGTTGAGTTTTGGCTGAGTTATGGGGGTGGGAAGTTTTAGACCATGTCTAGATGAGGATTGATCTAAGTCTGGGGTAAGATTTGACTTGAATTTGGACCAAAAAAAGGGTCCCCAAACTTAAATGCCAAATTAATCTAGGGGCCAAACCATGAACAAAAAACTAAACCTCGTGAAAATCGGTTGAGTTTTGGCTGAGTTATGGGGGTGGGAAGTTTTAGACCATGTCTAGATGAGGATTGATCGAAGTCCTGAGTAAGATTTGACTTGAATTTGGACCAAAAAAAGGGTCCCCAAACTTAAATGCCAAATTGATTTAGAGGCCAAACCATGAACAAAAAACTAAACCTCGTGAAAATCGGTTGAGTTTTGGCTGAGTTATGGGGGTGGGAAGTTTTAGACCATGTCTAGATGAGGATTGATCGAAGTCCAGAGTAAGATTTGACTTGAATTTGGACCAAAAAAAGGGTCCCCAAACTTAAATGCTAAATTTATCTAGGGGCCAAACCATGAACAAAAAACTAAGCCTCGTGAAAATCGGATGAGTTTTGGCTGAGTTATGGGGGTGGCTACTTTTTACCTATGTCTATATATCATACTTGCGGTTGTACCCCGGCCTTGCCCGTGCCACCTATAAAATAAATAGACCCGCTCCTCGCTATGCGATAGTTCTAGTTGGATTAAGTCAGCGAAGCGCAACTCTTATCACATGGTGTTCGCCTCATTATACTGAACGTGTGTATTTCATATTGATTTGCCGTGACGAGTACGTAACGCCCCATTGCATATCTCATTCTATTGATGGGGATCGACTGTTGCAATCTGTATGTATGAATCTTAATATATATCAGAATCCAGATCCCAATTTGTATCTTTATTCACTTATGTTCATATATCTTTATCCATAACATAATATGAATCTTTCGTAACATATCTGTATATGTATCTACATTTATATCCTTATATAAATCCGTACAAATGTATCTGTATCTTTTGTATTGTATCTTTAGCATCATATGTATATATTTAAATCAATAAATTCGTATGCGTACCTTATCTTTATCTTTTTGTATCGTATCTGTAGCTTCAAATGTATCTTTTAATATATCTGTATATAATTTTGTCTTTTAGCATGCATCTGTAGCTAATTATGTATCTTATTTTAGATCTGAAGTAACTATCTAAACATTTGTATCTTTATGTATGCAACTGTATCTTCACCTTTGAGTATTGTATCTAGAAATGAAATTGAATCCTTTTTCAAATCTGAATCTATCTTCTGCTATTGTATCTACAGCTTAAATGTATCTTAATTTATATCCGAATCTTTATATACATTTGTTTAATTTATCTGTATCTATTTATGTGCAGCCGCATGTATCTTTATCTATATAGCTTGTTTGTATCTCCAACTACTTTTGTCTCTGTACTTCGAAATAATTATCTGTAACTGTAACTGTATCTCCAACTGATATAACTGCCCAGCCAGTTAGATAAAGGGCTCAAATATGAATGTGCCCCCATACATATGTGTGCATGGGCATGTGTGCCTGTAGCTAATAACACGAGTCAAGTCCAAAATATATAGGCCTTCATTGTTTATAAATATTGCTACATGCATGTAATCATCGGACGTTGATTAACACACACTCACACACACTCACACGCACACTCAGTTCCATTCGGAGATCTGGGCAGCGTTTCACTCAGCGCTCGAATCTCTCTTGAGTTCTATATAGATCAATCCATGTGGGGAACACATGTGTTTATAGAACTAGCTCTCTATTGTGGGTGCCTGTATGTGTGTGTGTGTGTGTCCGAGTGAGTGTCTTATGAGTGCTTGTGTGAATATTTCAAATATATATATATATAATCACTCATACGACCTGCCGGCATGTCGCATTGCGTACTGTTTACTTCTGTGGGAATTCAGTTCGAATTCGTTAACAGGCGCTAACGGTTTGGGTTCCCGAAACGCAGCTGCCCCCCGCCCGAAAAAAATAACAAAATTGAAAATACCATAGACCAAGGGGCACTACGAGATCCTTGAATACACGAAAGAAGTCAACAAAATGTCAAGACCCAATCAAAGGTTAGTGTAAAGAAAACCAAAAAAAAAAAAAAAATGATTCTCGTGCGAAGTTCAGTGCAAAAAAAAAAAATAACTAGAAAATAGGAATAAAAAAAAACATGTTATAAAAAATCTATAAACTGTGGAGGAATTTAGGCGGCCGCTAGCAACACCCGATGCAGCTGAAAAATAATAATCTTATCGACTTTGAACATTGTGTACATATAGAATAATATATATATTTTTTTTTTTATAATATTCCTCGTATGACACGTAATGTGCGTGTTTTTTGTTTTTTTTTTTTTTTGGTTTTTTTTGTTGTGTGTTCTCTATACCCTGTAACTAGGAAAATATGCAGGAAGGGTATATTGGTTGTGTGGAAATGTGTGCAACAGAGCCCAAGTATATATATTCTTGATCGGGACATGTTACTCTGCTCTTCTCTCGATTTGTTTTCGATAGCTGCTGCCATATCGATAGCAATCGATCTTGGGACATGTCTTGCTTCCTTGAAGGTTCTCTCTATATTCGATACAGTTAACTTCTTCCAAAATAGAGAGCAAACCTCACACATGCCATAATTAATAAAATTACTAATAATAATTTACAGATCGGACTTTAAGCGCCGATCATATACACGAACATAGTTTGCCTAGTCGAAAGGAAAATAAAGCAGTACAGTCGCTGCATTGTAGGCTTTGCCAGGTGGCGGGCATCTTTTTGAAGGCAGCCCGCATCGATTTGTGGGGTATCGTTTAGTTGTGCGCATTGCCACTTGCGTACTGTTAGAAGTGGGGCCTAGATAAGGTCTGTGCGCATTCAGAAACCTAATGGAACTCTGACCCCCGCAATCGAACTTCAGTTTGTGTTATCTTTGGCAACTGAAAATGGAAAACCAAACGGGACACAGTCTTAAGTACCCATAAAAAAAATAGAAGTAAATGCTGGAAAAAAAATGAAAAAAATCACCCCCCTACCGGCTAATCGAACCGGTTCGCATCTCGTGTATAATGCACAATTATTTCATTTTGTTTTTTAATTTTTCCATTTGCAATTTTTATGACACTGCAATTGCAGACCTGTCCCATATCTTCTAATCCGGCTCCCATAAATCCCATCAAAAGTTAGCTAAGCAGTTGTGCAATTGCTCGATTAACTGGCAATTTGCGAGTCCATCAAATCAACACGCACTCCGCACACTTTTCATAAAAAACCAACCGAATCCGGCCAGAAAGTTCAAACTATTTCATATATCGAATCAATCAATCAATAGAAACAGTGGGGCATCAATAAAAAATGAGGAACTTTCCAATCAAGTATTTCAATTGAAAGATTCGAAATTAATCTAGTATTTCTAGTATTAATCTAGTATATATTCAATATGATATTGTTTATTAGGTATATCAGGTTATTTCTATAAAAAAAAGAGAATTTCAAGTAAAAGACTTCAATTGAAAAATTTTGAATTAATCTAGTATCTCTAGTATTAATCTAGTATATATTCAATATGATATAATATTGGATCTCTGAGTTGATTTCTATAGAAAGAGAAGATTTCAAGTAAAAGACTTTAATTGAAAAATTCTCAATCAATCTAGTATTTCTTTAATAAGATATAAAGTATCTCTGAGTACATAATCAATCCGAATTCTATCACATCATGCTTTGGTTTTATTATGCCTAAATTTAGAAAATCTATGCTAAAACTTCGTATTACAATCACAAAATTTATTCCATCTGGTTTCTTAAGATATACACAACTATATAAAGTTCTATATAGTTCACATTTTTTTTGTGCTATATTGCAACCCAAAGGCTTGCTTTATTCCGGCCACAGATTTTGCTTGGTCGATGATTTGTTTACCTTGTAAACCATATATTAACAATGAAATTGATTCCAGGAATTGCAATTGCCGGTAATTGTTGCCCTGTAATACCCTAGAAATGAAAATTATTACACTTTGTTATATACTTAACTCAACTCAACGAAAATATGTCAAATGAAAATATAGTTGAAATGTATGGCAGTCATATTTTGAGAACCACATCTACCGATTGTTCCTATGTCCGATAGCTATAGAATAGTTTCATAGTTTTTATGCCCATTGAAATTGGTTAAGCAGGCAGAAGAAATCATCCCTGACTGCAATAAGTATATATATTCTTGATCAGCATCAATATCCGAAACGTTCCGGTTATAGAATCTATAAAAGCTAGAGACTAGAAATATGTCACTGATCTCCTTCTAGTGCCGATTCTGTTTCCAATAATCGCCCCGTTTTCCAAGCAATAGATAAAAATCATTATCGAAATCCTGTCTTGGGTCTTAAGAGCTGTTGTGCCTTGAGCCTTCTTCAAGAGTATATACAGCACAAGTATCTTTAATTGTATATCTAAAAGCGGGTTCGGGGTATGCCCTAGTCGAGCACTGCCGCCCCGAGCCCTTCACTTGTTTATATATCTGATATATTGCCTAAATGCCATTCAGCTGTAAAATACAATGCAATGAAAATGAAATGTTTATGGACTGAATGTTTAGAGAGAAATAATTCAAGTTGGATATTTGGAAAAAAAAAATACTACATAATCCCAAACTTAGGGTATATAATTTAATTTCGAAAAAAATCCCAAAGTTCAGTTAAGATCAGAGATATGTGAACACATACATTGGGGTTATTTATTATATGGCGTATATATATATCTCTGATCTTAACTCAACTTTGCGTAATGCTTCCAAAAGCCAACTAAGTATTTGAGACGCGTTCAGAAAGTGGACGATTATTTTCTACAGGAACTCAAGTTTCTGCCTTTCCTTCCTGGACTAGCTATATGTCATAGAATCCAAATAGACCATATATCATTTATATATATATAATATCCATAAAAATAATTTGGATTTGAGGGAGATCTTTCGCATGCTTCATGCTATGGCAGCTATATGTTAAATGCATTCGATCCGCCCGATTCGGGCTCAGGTAGCAGCTGTACCGAGTTACATCGAGAGCTCAGCTCATATAGAACATGCACAGACATGGCTATATGAACACATATGTACATATATAGATATATATAGATATATATCGTCTTATGTCATTGGACATGTTTATGGCTATTGATGACGGAAATGCTTTGAACGTATCGTGACAACAAGCTGCTTGGAGAGAGGGCATTTTATTGTTGTTGTTGTTTCTTCTTCGATTCGAAGTATGTCAGCATTTTCTTGGACTAGGTGGGTGTGCTTGGAGTCAAAGTCAATGCCGGGCCGAGCTTAGGGTAAGGTTTTGTTAGCAGCGTCAGAGCCAGGGCCAGGGCCAGGCTCAGGTTCGGGGTCTGTTCTTTTGAGTTCTATTGAGCATGTTTTTTTTCTCGCTGTTTGTGCCGTTTGTGTATTGTACATTATCGTAAGATCGTGCGCACAGCTGCAGCTGCCGGAGAGCAGAGCTAATTATACCAGCTACAACAACAATAACAAATTGCTGACCAGCTGCCCCCCCCCCCCCTTCACCATAGAAAAAGCCAAAAAATAATAATAGAGGTCAGCACTGGTCGCAGATAAAGATAAAAGCATGCGAATGTGTTTTTGGCGCTGTGAATGATCATAAATAGAGTGTCGCCCGTTCGAGTTAGAGTCGCGCCCCAACAACCTTATAGAGGGCTGCCTTTAATCACAAGCCAAACAACATAGAGACTGGACATCGCATAGTAGAAAAGTGGGCACAAAAATATCGATGGCATCTGGTCCAAAATCGCGAGCAAGCGAGTAAGATATACATACGATGTCTTCTTATTCGCTTACACCACAGGAAACTGCTTGGCTTGCTCTCTTCCACTGTTACGGGAATTGCTCTCTCATGTTTAGGGATCGTTTAAATGTGTGTGTGTTATTAAAAGTCTTCAATTTGATGTGACAAAATCAAAAGGAGAGTTCAATTTGCAACCTGGCTTAACAAGACGAAACACTTACAACAACTTTCGACACTTGAGAACCACTTTAAGGCACTGTAAAACCTGACTATAACGAACGGCAAGCAGATTTGTTGCCATTGACATTCGTTTCGAAAACAAGTTGAAATGCATTTCAAAGTGTATTCGGTTAAATGACACCTATTATTGTAACGTGATCAGGTTAACCTTAAATTATCCAATAATTTCACGCGTTTCAGTGAAAACGATTGTAATCGAATGCAATTTGTGGCCTAAGACACAAAGCAGTTTATCTATTTGTAGCATATACTTGCCCTCTAGTTGGCGCTACTAGGGTATTTGCTAGTCGCATATGCTCGACACGCGGGGTCAGAGCACATTCTAATTGGATACTGTCACGCACTGCCCAAAACCAAGCCCTCAACCGATAATGCGAGCTACTGAGTATTTGTCTGAGTATTTGTTAACTTGCAGCAACAACAACAACAGCCGCAATGGCAACGGAAATGGCGCCGTTGGCCAGAACAATGATGTCTACAACATTGTGCTGCTGATCGTGGACATTGTTGTCTTGCTGATCAAATTCTGGCTATCGATTGCCGAGGAGATCATCAAGGTGTTCACCAGCCGGCCGCAGAGCGATGTCAGCGGCCAGTTTGTGCTGATCACGGGCGCCGGCCATGGCATGGGCAAGGAGATGGCGCTACAGTATGCCGCCATTGGTGCCAAGGTCATCTGCTGGGATGTCAACGAGCAAACGAACGCGCAGACGGTCAAGGATATCAAGCAGGCGGGCGGCACCGCTTACGGTTATGTGTGTAATGTGGTCAAGCGTGAGGATATTATTGAGCTGGCCGGCAGAATGCGCAAGGAGCATGGCTTTATAAGCGTTGTGGTCAACAATGCTGGCATTATGCCCTGCCATCCGCTGCTGGAGCACACCGAACAGGAGACGCGCCTCATGTACGACATCAATGTGCTCGCTCACTTCTGGGTAGGTCCACCTTTCACTGTGTCCATGTTCATGGCCATGTCAATAGGTTTGTTGTCGCTTGCAGATCATCCAGGCCTTTCTGCCCGACATGATTGAGCGCAACGAGGGCAGCTTTGTGGCCCTCTCATCCTGCGCCGGACTCTTTGGCCTGCCCAATCTGGTGCCCTACTGCGGCACCAAATTTGCCGTGCGCGGCTATATGGCTGCCCTGGCCGAGGAGCTGCGCCAAAAGAATCCACAGAACAATGTAAGCAGCAGCATGAGTATGACCAGCATCCGTCTAATGGCAATTTCTATGCATTCAATACTTTAGATCAAGCTGACCACCATATATCCGTATATGATCGATACGGGTCTGTGCAAGAATCCGCGCTATCGCTTTCCGAATTTGTTCAAGCTGATTGCGCCCCAGGCGGCGGCTGCCTCCATCATTGAGGCTCAGCGTCAGGGCCTGGAGGAGGCGTCCATACCGCGCCACTATGTGACCGTCGAGAAGCTGGCTCGTCTTATACCCAAAAAGGCATTGCGACTGATCAACGATTTTCTCGATACGGGCGTTGATACCGACAAGATCTAAGCCGTAAACCAAAAACAAAAAATAAGAAAAGGAAAACAAAACCCCGGAGCTTCCAATGATTATTTTAGGTCTCAACAGCTTTAACGTTTTATTTTCGCAAATTTGTTTTTTTTTTTTTTTTTCTACTTTCTCTGTGGATCTTGAGAGTACTTCTATGCTAACCTACTTATTTGTACACGATGTGAATTAAGCAAGCTTAAAGGTTGTTACTTAATAAACAAATAACTATACGATGTTAAACTTAACTAAAGATACTTTGATTAAGCTTGGAATCCAATTGAGTTCCGTTTTCATTAAATCATATATCTTATGATTATATTAGTTAGAGATCAGCTGGAACATTTTGTGCTCTGATCAATTCCTAATTATGTTAAGAATTCGTTATTATAATTATTAACTGATATATTCCATTTAAATCAGTTCATTTTAGCTAAGATCCTTTACGAATGTGATCAAGTCTAATCGAGTTACCCAAGATCAGTTTTGTATAGGATCGGCTACTTCTAGAAATTGTTAACGTAAGTTTATTTTATTGGTAGGATCAGTGATTCCTGGTAGAAACATTTCGTGTCACTTTCAGATCAGTTGCGATCAGTCAAGATTGTCTACGCTAAGATCCTTTAGTGCCATGATCAGATGTAGTTCAGATCAGTAACTGAGATCAATAGCTTATATAATCAGAAGTTAAGATCATTAACTGGTAGGATCAGGGATTCCTGGTAGAAACATTTCGTATCACTTTCAGATCAGTTGCGATCAATCATTTCCTACGTATATGATCAGCTGAGATCCTTTAGTACTATGATAGCCTGTAGACAGTAACTGAGATCAGTTCTCTCTTGACTAGATCGATTAAAACCTATTGCTAATCACTTGGGATCGGCGACAGATAAGATCAGTTGTTGTTCTATTTAGATTCGATTTTAATTTGTGGCATGATCACATTGTGTTTATATTTGGCGGCTTTTGTGATGATTCTTTAGCTTTGAATTGTGTTTTGGGTTCACGAAGTTCATTGTTCTATTAAGATCAGGGTTCTGCTTTAACCCTTGGCTTTGCATACCCATAGAACCAGTTTATATTACAAATAATTATAGACTTGATTGTCACTCAGAGTTACGAGCATCATGACTCATGCATTAAATATTCACAAATTCAAGTTTATAGAGCTATTGCGTACAAGACCTATTAAAACCGAGCGCAATTAAGATCAGTTAAGTATGCAGTTTTATTCTCCATTCACTTTATTATATATATACGATTAAGCAGGCTATTAAAATGTTGCTAATCTATTAAGTTCAGAGAGCTATTGCGGTCTCAAATCCACTCACAATTGTGGAAAATGTGTGAGAAAAAAATGTTGCATGCAATTTCTTTACTTCATAACACTCCAGCTTCGCTTTGAAAAGTTGGAATTAATTTAAAAAAAAATTTAGATCAGCAATATCCCCTATGGGAATCAGAGAGATAAGCTTAACCCTTGGGTGCTCATAGAATCCGCCTTAACCCTTTGTGTGTACGAGCTACTAGATAAAACGCTAGACACGATGTTAATCAGTTCTTGATATATATTTGAAATGGATTTACTTTTGTGATATGAGAATACTCTCGATCTACTTCTTGCCCTTGGCTGCCTTGGCTGCCTTGGCGGCCTTGGCCTTAGCCTTGGCCGCGCGCAGTTCCCGAGCCTCCTTCGAGGTGATGGAGCCGGCGCGCTTTTTGCGCGCCTCCTCGAGCTTGGCCTGTTCGGCCAGATTGTCCAGATAGAATTGCTCAAAGTCGGTGCGCTCCATGACCTTCTTTTCGGCGGCACGTTTGCGGTCAACAGCCTCGAGGGTCTCGTGGAAGGTGGCCAGGGCCAGGCGGAACTGTTCATCGGATTCGATCATTTTGATGAACTGATCGGGATTGTCGGGATCCAGTTCCAAGTCGGGCACAACTTCTACTTCCTCAACTTCCATCTTCGATTTGCGCTCCTCCTCCTCCAGGATTAGGGTGCGTCGACGCAGCTTGATCTCATCCACGCGCGCCTCTAGCAGCTTGCTGCGCGTTATCTCGCGCTCAAACATCTGTCAAGGATGAGGATGATTAGAGCTGGCTGGGATGCGAATTATCAGTTGGAGCTTAGCTTACGGCTGCCATCAGGGCCTTCTCCTTGCTGGTGGTCTTCTTCATGGCCTCGTCCAAATTCATGATGTGCGTATCGCCATTCGCCAGCGAGATGGCCAGATGCTGTCCGCCCGGCTGAAAGACCACGGCGGTCACGGTCGAACGGAAATTGATGCTATAGATGGGCTTGCGTTGATTCAATAGGAAATCCCAAAAGTCAACGACCCCATCAATGTCGCCCGTGACAAACATGGAGGCGCGACCAGTGCTCCAGGCGCCGCACATCAATTGCGAACGCTTCTTCACATACATTGTGCTGGGCCGATTCTTGACCTCCTCGCACCAGATGCGCGCCCGCCAATCGCCGACAATCACAAAGTTCTTCACAAAAAACGGATTGCGATGGATGGTGCGTATTGGCCCGGCACAGATGCTATAATTGCCGATGAGCATCTCGACGGGATTCAGGCCCTTGCGATTGCCCACAAATACCCGGCCCATATCGCTGCCGGCTATGAAACGCACCGGTATCGTATACTCAAACTCCAGCACCGTACAGCCGTGGGCATCCTGGCGATTTTGACGCATGCGCGGATACGGTTCAAGAAAGATCTCATTGGCCGGCATTTTGAGATCACGCGTATCCCAGAACTTAATGGAGCCATCCAGCGATGAGGTATAGAATTCCGTATTCGATTTGGAATACACCCAGGTCAGCGATGAGGTCATCTCGCGATGTGCCGCCTCCATGGGGCACATGCTGGTCGGCATGCCGCTCTCGAATGTCTCCCAGGTGCACACCTTGCCCGTATATGTGCCGGCGGCCATATTGTTCTCCTCCTTGGGACAGATTTTGGCGCACGAGACAATCTCAATGCTGTCATAGAAATACAAAGGCTTTATCGGATTCTTAACATCCCAAACGTAAAAGGCATTGGTGCTGCCATTCGTGTCATCGCTGGTCATCATGCGACGCTTCTCGTTGCGCAGCAGGAACAGATTACTGTACTGGGTCATGATCTGTTTGTTGTTGTTGGGCATCCAGTTGATGACGGACATATGACGCTGCGGCTGCCACATGTCGTGGATGATGTTGATGGTGCGCGACTTGAAGGGCATGCATATGGTGCGGCCCATATCGCTGGGCAGATCGTCAAAGAAATGATTGTAGATATTGATGGCATTGTTCTGGCGCGCCGTGTTCATTGTGGTGCGTATCAGTTCCTTGACCTCATCACCCCAGGCATCGTCGCGTTCGACTTTCTTTCGATGGCGCACCGTTTGCTCCTCATCGTTCATGTTCACCTCCTTGGGCCAGCCGCCCTCATAGTGATACATGCCGTGCTCATCGTATGTTGCATTCTCCGTTTCCATTTCGCTGAATGCCATCACAGCGCTCAGCTGGACGGAACGTGTCTGCGGATTGCCCATTATGTACTTGAGTCGCAGGCGACTACTTGGATGTACGCTGACCATCAGCTCGTTGCGATCCTCGAACACGCACTGGCGGCCAAAGCGACGACGCTCGCGCGTCAGCACCACCTGATTCTGATACATGATGTTGCTTGTCCGAAGCGCCTATAAAAGTAATAACTCAAAGTCTAGTTGGTTTCTATTGTTTACTTTTACTTAAAAAATATTCGTTTTCAGTTGTATATTGTTTTAATTTTTTGAAATTTAACCAATTTACCACATAGAGATTTACAAATTTGACAGACGTTATGAATTTTTAAATAATAACTGTCACCAGCTGCTATTCAAAATTCATTTTGGCGCTCTGTTCAAGCTGCTTACGTGTGGAGTAATTCTGTTTTGCTGTGGAGCAGCTCTGTTAGACGTGCCTATATTATAGTCAATGTTAGCGTAAATTTGTGAATGAGTGAATGCAGCTGCTGGTGCTTATAACTCAAACATATTGGCAATCAATTGGCTGACAACTTTAAATAGCATTGTGCATGCCATCAAAACTGCAAGTACACTTAACATTAATAGACCGCTTGCAGAGCTATGTTAATTGTACGTAAAATTACAGCTTAACAGTCAGTGTGAATGGCAGCGTGTGCGCGTGCACACGTGAATGGCGCTCCACGGCGAGTACACAAACGCAGCATTGGAATTCCGTTGTGTCTCCCGGTGGTTACCAGATAAATAAACCGTGCACCGCTGGATTTGCCAGTGCAAAATGTCTCCCAAATATACGCACGCAATCGTTGCCAGGTGAGTAAAGCCGCCTGGCCAGAGTTGAAGCTCTCAGCTCAGCTGGGGTTGGGCACAGGCAGCAAATAGAAATTAGGTCATGTTGCCTAGGCAATGGCTCAGTGGTTGTTTGGGTGGGGCCAGGGCCAGGGCCAGGTTTAGGGGTTGGGGGCAGCAGCATTATGACTTGACACACACCCACCCACGCATTGACCCCGCGTCGAGGCGTGAATTAATTCATTCATTCGTTTACTCATCATAATTCGCACTTGATTGTGGTTAATTCGTTGAATTCCAAATTCTCTGTCTCACACACTTCCGCTCACCCTGCAGAATCTCGAACGCCCTGCTGGAGACTGGCAGCTTTGATGTGCAATTGGCGAAACAACAGCATGAACAGTATTGCGCCCTATTGCGGGAAATCGGACTGGACGTCATTGAGCTGCCGCCGGATGATTCTTTGCCCGAAGGCGTTTTTGTTGAGAGCAGCGCCGTGATTTGCAATGGAGTAGCGCTTATTGGACGCTCGGATAATCCAAAGCGTCGCCGCGAAGCCGAAAGCATGGCGATCATATTAAAAAAGGAACTCGATATACCTGTTATTGAAATCGATGATCCCCATGCTCAATTGGATGGCGGCGATGTGCTCTTCACGGGTAAGTCCAAGCACGTTCACTTTATTGATGTTATCGCTGTTATCTACTTAATTTGCGCCGTTGCAGGGCGCGAGTTTTTCATTGGCATTTCAAGCTTTACGAACGAGGAGGGCGCACGCGCCGTGGCCATGGCATATCCCGAATATCCAGTTACACCCATCAGAGTGCGTTGAGCAACTACATATATAGTATATTGAATTACAAGTCTTATATTTAAACTGATTACCTTCGACAGGTGAACGGCTGCAAGCGCCTGAAGTACTATGTAACCATGGCCGGACCGG